AAAATCACTAACAGAGTGAAAACAGGACACACAAATTGGGAACAAATATTAACCAAATGATCACTCAGACAAAGTCCTTCTATCTAGAATATATAAAGAACTTAAAAAAAAATCAGGCCCCCAAATTAAAAAGCCCGATAGAGAAATGGGCATCTGAAATGTATATACACTTCTCAGAGGAAGAAATAAAGTGGCAAATAAGTATGTGAAAACATGTTCCACAGCACTGGTCATCTGAGAAAGACAAATTAAAACAACACCGAGATACCATCTCACCCCAGAAAGGACGGTTGTCATACATAATCACCTAGTAACAAATACTGGACAGGCTGTGGGGAAAAATAACCCTTCTCAACTGTTGGTGGGATTGTAGGCTGATACAAACACTCTGGAAATCAGTCTGGAGACCTCTCAAAAACTAGGTTCCCATTCAACCTAGCTACTCCCCTTCTGGATATTTTCCGAAAAAAACTGAAAATATCGTACCACAGTGATATATGTGCACCCTCATTTATAGCAGCACAATTTGAGGGACATACTGTGTGTTTGGGGCAAGAATACCACAGAAGTGATGTACGCTCCTCAGTGTATCATGTCTGGAGTGCATGGTGTCAATAGTCGTTAATGGTGACATTAACCTTATCATCTGGCTAAGCTGCTGACTCTCAGGATTCTCTACTCCCAATTTATCAAGCTTCCCTTTGACTAAATATGTTGGAAGAGATATTATTTAAGTCAATATCCTGTTTCTGTCCAGTATGCTACCGTTGCATTTTAATATTAATTGGTAGATTTTTTTCCCATAGGACAATTGTCATTATGGCTCTCTAATTTCATTTTTGAACTACTCAGTTTAGAAATTTTCTCTATTTTCATTATCAGTTTTACTTTTATTCATTGGAATTCTTCTACAATGAAGAGTTGTTGCTTCATTTCTATATAAGACAAGCAAATGAAAGGACAGAATAGGGCTATGGAATCAAGGCAGACCAGCAGGAGAGAGTGATGTTATGACCTCCTTCTATGATTCTACTGCAAGGGTGAACAAGACACACCCAGAAAATGGAAAGTCTGAGAGTTGAGACATAAATGTAGAGCTAGGGCAAGGTGTTATGGTGGAGATGGCGTGAGAAAGCTTGGGCCTGATGCCCTTCTGAAGAATATGGACCCTCTAGTTAGAGGCAAAGGGCTGCATGAGGTTCAGAGAGAATATCGGTGGAAAAAGCTCAGTGGTAGGTGGATTGCAGTTGAATGTTCAGTCAAAGCACAAGTCACTACAAGAAGACGCCAAGTAACAGTTGTCAGGGCCAGTGGAAAATTTCTGGAAGGAACATAAACCAAATCTCACTGGGGAGTAGGACTGAGCACAGAGAAATCTGGTAAAAGCAAGTAAGGAAGGAAGCCAGGCAAATGTGAAGGGTCTGGAAGCTAAAAAGATTAGCTGTTATCCTCAGATTTTTTCACTGAGAAGGGTCAGACAGTAAGTAGGTTGGAATTCATGGTCTGCACACTGTCAGTTCAATAATTCAACTTCACAGCTGTCATGAGAATATGGCCATAGACAGTACATAAAGAATGAGCATTGGTGGTGGAAGGGGGCTGGAAAAATAGCTCATCAGTCTAAGTGACCACCTGGCAAGGTTCGATCCCTGGAACTGGATGATGTGGAGGCCCCATACCATGCTGGCCACTAAAACTGGGTGTGATTGTGAAACCAGGCATGGTGGTGCAAGCCTGTAATCCCAGCCCTGGGGAGGCTGAGACAGGAGGATCACTATGAGTCTGTGCTGTGTAGTATGATCCTGTACAAAATAAATAAAAGATTTTTTTTTAAAAAAAAGAATGAGCATAGAAAAGATTAGCAGTGGGCAGATTTGGCCAGTGGATCATACTGTATCAAATTTGAAACAAATGAAGTCAGTCATGCCCTCAGGGTTGAAACACTGTTTAGGCCCTATGTGGTTCACCTCTTGATCTATCCTGTTTTTCTTTTATTGTCTCCCCTGTCGCAAGGAGCTAAAAAATGACTACAATTACTCAAAATAGGCATGGAGATTTTGGGAATTATGACTAGTGAGGAATATTTAAGCTACTTTTGATTAATATTTTTATTTATATGGGGGAAGCATTATCTGGAATTTAGTCAAATTACTTATGTTTATAATGTGCTTATAAGTTAGATACATTACACATATATCTTGAAATTAGATTTTAGAAATACTTGATGTTGGGGTTTCTTGAGATATTTTGAAGCAAATTTAACAGAAGCCACTCGTTATTAAATGGCCTCTTGACTTGGAATTAAAAAAAAAAACCCTAAAATTATACATATTGGCACATAGTAATTGAGCAATATAATGTTTATTTCCTTTAATTCTTTGTGACATTTTTATGCTTACATACAACCATATTTTGATTATATCTACTTTCTCTGGTAATCTGTCTCACTCCTGTTCCACCTCCTTCTGCTTCCCTTCCATGTCTCTAATAGTTTTCTTTTTATTTTCATGTTGCCATCTTTTTGTTTCCTAGATTCCACATATGAAAGAAAACATGAAATTTTTGCCAAGTCTGGCTCCCCTCCTTCATAGGATGATCTTTCATTGAATTCCCTATGAATGGCATCACTTCAGTCTTCTTTTATGGTTGTATATGCAGCACCTCTTTTTATCCATTCAGCCCTTGGTGGGCACCTAGACTGTTTCCACAACTTGGGTATAGTGAATGGTGCCACAGAGATGTGGATGTGCAGGGGTCTCTAGGGCATACTAACTTCAGTTTCTTGGCATGGAATAAGAATTGGTATAGCTGGATCCTATGGTAGATGTTTTTCTTTGGCTGTACTGGGGATTAAGACCAGGGAGTTCTAAGCCACACACTCATACCTCAAACATAGTATATCTTTAATTATGAACATTTTTATTATAAAAATTTTACTATGAAATAATTTCATAACCAAATAAGAGAATAAACATAGTTAATATGCTGTGCATTATTTTCAATGTAGTGACTTAGAGACAAAAAGGGCATTTCTTATGAAGAAGAAACAAATTTAATAGCACAAAATTTTCTTTTCAATGAACTAAAAGAAATTAGCATTAAAAATGAAGCAAGTTAGCATATATTAAAATTTTTTAAACAGAATATGTAATTTAAAGAATTACTTGAGCTTCTCCATACTTCCTATTTACTTATCTTCTGTTTTACCTCATATTTGTATAAAATATTTTGAATTTTTCACATAAGAGAAACCATGTGAAATTTAATCTTGTGCTTCTGAGTTATTTATTTCACTATTGTGTTCTCAAGTTGCATTCATTTCCCTATAAATCCCTCAAGTTTATCTTCCTTTATGGCAGAGTAGTTATTTATTGTGTCTAAATGCTCTATTTCCCCTCTGCATTCATCTGTTGGTGGCCATATGTGGATGGGCATATGTGATGCCTCCAGATGTAGTTATCATCAATTATACTGCTATAAACATGGGTATGCATATATCCTCAAAATACAATGATTTTAACTTTTTTTGGAAAACACCTAGAAGGAGAATAGTAGGACTAAATAGAAGTTTTGTTCTTAATTTTTTAAGAGCCTCCACCAACAGTGTGTTAAAATTTCTTCTCGTATCCTAATCTGGAACTTGTGATCCTCCTCCTACAGCTTCCAGAGCATCTAGGATTATGAGTATGAGTCAACTTATCCAGCCTATTTCTAGTTTTGTTACGAACTGCCATGCAGATTTACAGAGTGGCTATCCTACTTTACATTTCCACCCACCACATATAAGGTTCATTTCCCCCGCAACTTCACCAGTACTTATGGTTTTCTATAATTTTCTTTTCTTTCTTTTTTTCACACCAGGGATTGAACTCAGGACCTTGTGCTTGCCAGGCAGGCACTTATTCTACTGAGCTATCTTCCCAGCCTTGTAATTTTATAATAGTCTTCCTATCTGACTAGGGGGAAATGAAATCTCAGTGCAGTTCTGATGTTTATTTTCCTGATTTTAGAGGGTGTTGAACATATTTTTCATATAATTATTGTCCAGTTATACTTTTACTTTTGAGAAATGTCTGTTTAATTTGTCCATGTACTTATTGAACTGCTTGTTCCTTTGCTATACTTCTTGAGTTCTTTATATATTCTGTTATTAGTCCTCTGCCAGAAGAGAAGCTGGCCAAGATTTTCTCCTGGTTTGTAAGCTGTTTCTTCATTCTGTTAATTTGATCCTTTACTCTGCAGAAACTTTTCAGTTGATGCATTTATCTTAGTGTTTATGTCCCCAACTCTTCAGGGAACTCTTACCTGTGTCTATATCTTGAATTATTTTCTCTATGTTTTCTTTTCATAGTTTCAAGGTATCAGGTTTTAGATTTAGATTTTTGATCCATTTGAAGCTTGCTTTGTACAGAGTGAGAAATAGGGATTTAGTTTAGTTTTCTATATCTGGTTATCTGATTTTCCTGCATCTTTTGTTAAGGATCTGTCTTTTTTCCATATATGTTCCTGGCACCTTTATTAAGAATCAGATAACTATAGTTGTGTGTTTATTTCTGGGTCTCTTGTTTCATTTCATTGGCCTATATGTCTGTTTTTATTCCACTATCATGCTATTTTTATTATTTTGGCCTGAAGTATGTTTTAAAATTGAACGTTATGATGTCTCTAGCATTCTTTATTTTGCTCAGGAATTCTTTGGTTATTCAGCGTCTTTTGTATTTCCATGTGAAATTTAGGATGATTGTTTCTACTTCTGTGAATTTTGATAAAATTAATTCTGTAGATCCATGAGCCTGGGAGAACATTCCAGCTTCTTTCTTTGTTTTTTATAATTTCCATTCAAGAGGTTTATTTTTTTAACCTCTTTTATAGATTTTTTCCTGGGTATTCTTTGTAGCTATTGTGACTGGAATTGTTTTCCTGGTATCTTTCTCAGTGAGTTCATCATTGGTGTATAGAAAAACTACTAACTTTTGTGTTTTCTTTTTTTTTTTTTTTCTTTTAATGTGAAATGCTTCATGAATTTGTGTGTCATCCTTGTGTAGGGTCATGCTAATCTCTTCTGAGTCACTTTAATTTTAGCATGTGTGTTGCTGAAGCAAGCAGAAAATACTAGTTTTGAATATTGATCTTGTATCCTGCTACTTCGCTGAGTTTGTTTATCAGACCTAATGGTGTTCTTGTAAAATTTTCAGAATCTGGATACAGGATCATGTCATTTGCAAATAAGGGGAATTTGACTTCCTCATTTTAATTTGTATCACTTTTATTTCTTTCTCTTGCCTTATTTGTGTAGGTTAAACTTTCAAGTATTATATTGAATAAGAGCTGCAGGAATTAATATGCTTGTCTTACTACTAAATGTGTAGGAAATACTTTCAGTGTTCACTTTAAGTGATTTGCTTATAGGTCTGCAATGCATAGCTTTAACTATACTGAGGTAAGACTCCTCTGTATCTATTTTCTTCAGAGATTTTATTATGACAGCTTGTTGAATTTTGTAAAAGGCTTTTTTTACATCTACTGAGATGATCATGTGACATTCCCCCTTAATTCTTTTTATGTACAATATTATGTTCATTGATTTATGTATTTAGTCCATCTTTTTATCCTATAACAAATGATTGAATTATAGTCATGATTCTTTAATTTATTGTTAAATTCAATCAGCAAGTATTTTAATGACAATTTTTCCTTCAAAATTTTATTGATAAACATAGCAATGAGACAGTTTCAAATCAAATCGGAAGTACAGTTTCAACAAATAACAACCTGCATATATTCTTCTTAGTGGTTAATTGCTGTACAAGATGCGGACTTGAGATCCTATTTACAAACACCATTAGAACAAATCATTCTATTCATT